TGGCGAGTCGCCATCAGGACAAGACCGATGATTTCTCCATGAAGAAGAAAAACATTGTTGAGGTATAAGTGGTTCTTATCAGCACTTACTGCTTTCTTAATATGGATTTAAAGGTTGACAAAACCATAATGTTTACACAACTGAGTGCTCGAGCAGATGCAAGCATTGGAGAAAATCTCTTTGATCTCTCTCTTTCACAAGCCCTTGGCACTGCTCCGAAAACACAAAAGTTCGATTTTTCCAGGTTTGTCTGTTTATATGTCTTTAACTTCTATATTCACGTTCCCGAGTTTAGCTCCAAATTGGGCAAAGTTATCCAGCTTGCTGGTTTTTCCGATCCAGTGTATGCTGAAGCGTATGTTAGTGTCAATCAATACGATATCGGTATGTTGTTTTCTTCAAAAGGGGTTTTTCAAACCCCCATTTCCCTTTTTATAGTTCTGGATGTGCTTATTGTGAATCAAACTGCCGATACTCTTCAAAACGTCTCACTGGAGTTGTCAACAGTAGGCGATCTCAAGCTTGTTGACAAACCTACCCCAATCACATTAGCTCCTGCCGATTTCGCTAACATCAAGGTTTGAAAGCTTTTTGGTGTCACTTAATCTGATACTAAAAAAATTATGTTACAACGTTGTGGCCGTTGAAGATGAAATTATGTTAGTAAATAATTTTTGCAACTCTAACCCCAAGTTTGTGGTCCATTTCTTCCCTGAAAGCTACGAAGGCGAGATTTAATGGGAAATTCGAAAAGCTTAGTACAATTGCACACTCACTTAATGAATCCTGTGTGATAAGTCCCTTGCGCACTGTGAGATGCGCTTGTTTTTCATCCCCTGAGGTGGGCCTTTTTGCATTTTCTGCCCATTTGACATTGAAGCGTACTTGCTTGGAGCGAATTGAGACAGCTTCAGAATTACTCTCTGTTGTTCGAATTGCTCATAAGGTTTGAATACACCCGAAGATCTATTGCACACTCAAATCGTCGTAATTTCAAAGTTTAGATCCCGGTGAAAATTCGTGCCAAAAATTTGATACCTAGTATATCTGTTTTGCGTTAAGACTATCTCAGACGCTTCTGATTTCGTGACCACATAACAGTTAACTCTGTTGGAGCTTCTCAAGCAAATTTCGAGACACTATGTGCGTTAGGAGCAATTTAATCAAAAGCCTCCCGATTCTGTCTCAATTGCGCCCGAAGCACGCGCGCGTTAATGCCAATATGCAATCCGCACAAAATCCAAGAAATTTCTACCTTGGGAGATAGAAGACGAGCACATTATCATTGACTGCAAAAGACTTATCGCTGCGTGATGTCTTTTGCAGTCAGTGATGATGCGCTCGTCAAAGTTCATCATCAAGTTGAGCTCATTCTCATGGTGCTAGTAGGCTGATCAGTCACGTATAATTTTCTATCAGAACGCGCCTCCCGAACTTTATAGAGCTTCTCGCAATTATGGAACACATTCTTGAGATGACCGTTGCAAATATTACGTACTAACGTGCATTTAAACTGTCGCCTGACCTAAGATTATTCTCTTATAAATTTGAAAGGTTTTCATTGTTACAAAGAGAACAAATTCAATTCAACTGAAACTAGTAGTCCTATCTCATTGCTACCCACTTCTAGGCTACTGTAAAAGTTGCCTCTACTGAAAATGGTGTCATCTTCTCAACCATCTCATATGATGTGCGCGGTTCAACCTCTGATAGAAATTGCGTGTACTTGCAGGACATCAAAATTGATATTATGGTAAATTTTTGTTTTTCTTTTGATAACTTTAGAGCCATGTTTTCTTTTCAGGACTACATCGTCCCTGGTAATGTCAGCGATGCTGAGTTCAGACAGATGTGGTTTGATTTT